ACACCTGACACATCAGTGATACTAAGTTCTGATGTCTGCACCTTTGCTCCACAGAAAATGTCCTGTTGTATGGAGGTTAAACTATAAATGGAACATAAATAAGAGACTGCAGGTTTTTGATGTAAACATTCATAATCTATCGTGTCATACAGGGGCACACTTAAACAATTAAAGGCAGTATAATCTCAGTAGAACAAGTACATGAGTTCATACTTATGAAATTCTTATATTTGTATTACACGCCTTATAGCATATGAAAGGCACACTGACAGTTTGCAGTCAGGCATCCATTATGTTAGAGTCTCTTTGAGCTTTTAATTAAGTAAAAACATATCCCAAACTTTGGCTTGCACTGAGGCTGAACTACAAAATAACCCTGTTGTGTACCCACTGTAAACCGTCCGGGTGCTGCTCTGTACTGTTGCCGTTCAGTTCCGTCTTTTACAGCGTTTAAAAAAAAAGGAAAAATAAAGTGAAAAACTGTTTTTGGTATTTGTGAACATATTCCGCTTTACAGAAGCTCTTTATGTGAATCTTCTTCTTTACTAAGCCCTAACGTCCGCCTTTTCACCAGTAGAAACACTCCACATTAAATCTGTGATGATCCTTACCATCTGTCTGCTTCACATCCAGCTGCTGATGGACTCCCAGCGGTTTACTGTCCGGGTTGTCTTTAAAACGAACACTTTCAGTGTCGTGCTGCTGACAACGTTCCTCTTCATCCATAGTGCCCGCATTTGTTCTGTTCTTTAAAATAAACTGGAGGCTCATTTGAGATGAACCAGGCCTGCGCAGGACCGATCACCTCCGCTCACAGTTAAAGAAGCGCTGGCTTCATTTTCTGTCCTGCTTCTACATCCGTGGATGTATTATGTAAGAGCGGGATGCAGATTCCAACAGGGAATCCACTCTCCTGAATCCTTTTGTTAAAAGGTTTGTTGCCGTCTCCGCTGGTTTTTGAGCAGGCATCGGCACGGACACCTTTAGTCTCCGTCACCATAGTAACTACAGGCCTTGCAGCAGCAGCAGTAAACAGTTACACCACATAAACGTACATGTCAAAGGCAAACATTAAAAGATAAATATATGTTTTAAATATATCATATTACTAGAAAAATAAGTATTGTAAAAAATAATATTATATATTAAATAAATAATAAAGAAACAAAATACATTCTAATATTATAAATACTGTAAAATAATAGTTAAATTCATTTTTTTTATTGTGTTTTTATTAGTATTCATTTTTAAGTAAAAAAAAAAAAGACCACAAATGTTAAATGTTTAGCTATGAACAAATTACATATTTACAATCATGTTGTTTGCAGCATTTGTGAAATATTTCAGTTTTTATAGACACATTCAAAATTTTAGCGGTAGTCACTCAATACAAGAATGTTATTCCTGGTAGAAGTTTGAATTAACAGGATTAAAAGGAAGTCGCTTGATTGCATTTGTGAACGTCTTCAGGAACGGACAGATCGTTTTATTTTTAGCAATGATAAAGCTATTAAAGCTTCGGGGTTTTAATTAAGAGTTTAAAATAATATATTAAAATAGGCCCTATCCAATCTATTTATTTCCCATTTATTCTTTCCAATCTTGCCATTCATTTTTATTAGTTCTAATTAGTAGCCCAACTAATGAGAATTTACTTACTTTTAACTCAACAGCTGAAACCACTTGGACATCTGTGATCCAAACAGTTCTTACTCTTTCCATTCATGTCTATAGAGCAAAACTAGTTTCCATCCGTTACAGTAAAGTCAGGCCGATGTGATATTTCTGTCACTAATTTTAATTTGTGTGCTGTATCAGTCTCCATTATTTCCATAAACATTATCCACTGATTAACACTGATCAAAATGTGACTTCTTTTTTTATTAATCCGACTAATCAGTTCTTTTCTCCATATATGTTTTATTGGAAGCCACAACCTCCCCTGTTGTTCAGGCAGATGTCGCCCTCTGCTGGCCTGCTAAAAGAAAAGCATGTGTCTTGTACATTTTCTGAAAGTACTACTCATACCAATTCAAATGTATCCTACCATGAATAAGAGGGGTGTGGCTGTCCTCTGACGTTTTCCGTTTTTGAATTAATTTATCATCCAAAAACAGAGAAAGAAAAACAGTGTATATGCTGTTCTTTACATAAAATATCTCATTTGAAAATCTGAGAAACTCTTACTTCACTGTTTGCCTCTGTAAAGGTAACGGTCCTTATTTCTCCATTCACCATGTACACACACAGTGGCTGGAAACAACACCTTTTCTGTCACTTCCTTTTATTTCTGGTTTTATTTACCAAAAGATTTCACAACAGTCCAAAATAGACACATCTATATTTATGATATTTATCCTCGTTGTTTTCAGAAAGGCATCTTCTGATATACAGCACATTGGTAGCTACAGATTGGTGGACTAAGAGGACGTCTATTTAACTTAGGAATTGTTCAAAATCAATATTTTACTGGGTAGGCCTTGCAAGTTCCATGCATCTATTTTTTGTCCCTTTACCCATGTCAGGGTCATGGGGGTAGCAGCCTTAGCAGTGATGCTCAGACCTCCTCCAGTTCATCTGGGGGACACCAAGGTGTTCCCAAGCCAGCTGAGAGAGTCCCTCAGCTGGCATCCTCCGGTGGGATGTGCCTGAAGCGCTCACCTAGGAGGCATCCCAGTCAGATGGTGAACCACCTCAACTGGCTCCTCGCAGAAATTAGTTCCTTTTCTGGATACAATTTTTTATCATTGTACTTATTTTCATTGAAAATAAATACTGCCATTCATGAGAAAAAAAGATAAATTGCTTTCATTTACATATCTTAATGGCTTAACAGTGAAATTAAATTTCCAAATTAATTTCAGTCAGATGTTATTTTTAATCAGTTGCATTCCACTCAAGCTTCAAATACAATGAAGCTGATAAAAGCAAGGTATGTGCTTGACTTTGACAATTAAATATCAAATATTGTACCTGAGCACATTTGACCACCACAGCCCAGTTTGGTTGACTAGTGCTGACTAAACACAAACCCAACCAACCCAAGGAGGGGCATACTCACTGAGAGCACATCCTGAGCACTCTGAAGTACTTTTCAGTGTAAAAACAGACACACAAAGACTTGTTTTTTCTTTCTTAATTCCTTATTTATTGCACGCAGGCAAGTAAAAAATCTAATATATATATATATAAAATAAATCAATGTAAGACAATTAATTGTTGCATTCAGTGTTTCTTCATATTTCAACAAATTCAACTGAGAAGGATTTTCATCCAAGTATTAAAAACAAGGCTTAGAATCACATTTATGTTAAGTTGTCCAGTGTTGAGCCTCTGAAAATAGGGCACCAAGTATAAAATGGTGATGATTCCTAAACGTTTTTTTGTAAAACCTCTTGAATTAAAGGTGAAAGTCAACCTCTAATCGCATATCGATTGATTTAAAATCCACTGTGCTGGTGTACAAAGACATCTTCTACTATCCAAATATTTATGGACACAGCTGTACATGACTCCGGGAGGTACAAAGGGCTTTCATTTACTTTTGTAAAGCAAATCTCTGATTTATACATGCACTTTCTCATGAAAGCAACATTAACAGAAGCTTGATTCAAATTTACTGCCAAAACACTTTTTACACAACACTCCATTAACTGCAGTTTCTGCAAAGCAACTTCTTAAAAGCTGACTTGACAATTTAATACATTTGTAGGACTCATCAAAATCAGATTGAAGGCATTTAAAAAAATTAAAATATTTAAAAACTCTGTGTGGTCCTTACCAAGGCACTTGGGTAATGTATCTTTCACAATGAACCCTGAAATAAAGCAGCCTCTATCACTTGTGAAGCGTCATGTGAGCCTTAAATCGTGTCTTTCGATTGAAGGTTTTTCCACAAACATCACAGCCAAACGGTCTCTCTCCTGTGTGGATCGTAACGTGACTCTTCAGATACTCCTGCCGGTAGAACCGTTTTCCACAAAAATCGCACCCGAACGGTTTTTCTCCGGTGTGACGTCTGGTGTGCTCATCAAAATGCTTCTTCTGGCTGAAGCTGCTGGCACAGAAGTTACACTGATAAGGTTTCTCTCCAGTGTGGATTCTGATGTGTGCCTTGAGATGAGTCTGTTGGCTAAATTGCTTTCCACAAAACTTACACCCGAACGGTTTTTCCCCCGTGTGAGTTCTCATGTGTGTCCTCAGAACACCCTGCTGTCTATACTTTTTACCGCAGACGTCGCAGCTGAATGGTTTCTCCCCCGTGTGCACTCTCAGGTGACTCCGCAAGTTCCCCTGCTGTGCAAACTTCTCACCACAGACGTCACAACCAAAGGGTCTTTCTCCCGTGTGGGTCCTCATGTGTGTTTTAACGTGCATTTTGCGACTGAACTTTTTACCACAAATATCACAGCTGAACGGCTTCTTTTGTGGGTAGAGTCTTATGTAAGGCTGCTGCGTAAACCTTTCAGTGTTAACACTGTTAGGAAAGTGAGGCACAGGCGTCTCCTTCTGATCTCCATCGCTGGTTTTTGTTTCAGGTGCAGGAGAGGATAAAGGTTCCTGCCAATCATCATCGCCGTCACTGATGTCAGTTTCAGAAGAATCAGAAGCGTTTCCATTTGCTTTCAGCTCTGCACAACTCTTTAGATTTGGGTTTCCAGCTGGTTCTGCTCCTGGATAGTCCTCTCCATCAGTTTCTGCTTTTATCCGATTAGTCTCTCTGTTGTAGTCATGTTGGTTCTGGTGGAGATCTGAAGTCTGAGTTTTCTCATCATCATCATTTTCAGTCTTAACAGTGGCAACAGCGAATGAGAACCTGGTGTTATCAGCTTCCTCCGACCTGTTAAGCTGCTCTCCCCCCAAACTGGTCAGGAGTTCTTCCTGTTCCTCCTTTATTTGGAGGATCTCCTGGTGCTGATGGTCCACACCGAAGCTCCAGTCAAAGGGAATTTCTTCTTTAATCACCAAAACCTTCTGGACATCAGGGGGCAATACTGAAACACACACAGACATGGACAGTTGTGTAATTAA